GAAATAACTAGGAGATATTAATGGGTTGGTTATGTTGTGTCAGAAGAAGAAAAGTATTAATAACTGGTTAGTTGATACAGATCCACCTGCTCTCTTAATATTAGAACAAAAAACATCAGATACTCACTCACTTGATGGCTTTTTCCTTCTGTGGTTGAGCCTTCCATAAACCTGACAAATTGGGAATTTGCCCTAAGAATTTTCCTGGACATTATGAAAAACTTTTGAAAGTTAAATCATTGTCACCTGCTTAGCATAAAGTCTTTACAAGTAGACTATGAACTTTGAAAAGGACTTAAGACTTTCAAACATGTCTCAACTTTAAGTGTTTTAAATTTACCCCCCCCCCCCCGATTTTTTAACTGGTCATTAATGTACATACAGTGAAAAGAGGTCCATTTATTTACATAATGGGTATTTTGATAAAATTTAGTTCTTAAAACCAAACTGCAAAGCCGCCAGGTGAAGAGACCTGCACAGGAGTAGAGGAAAGGTGATTGACGCAATAGTGATTTTCTGCTTGGTTATTCAAGAACCTTGTTTATTGCTTCTGAAGGTTATGCCGATAAGCAGTTTAAAATGAAAGCTGCTAGTAATACAAAATCGTTCAAAAAATTCTCAGTTTACTGCAAAAGACTTTTATTAGTGAAGGTTGGAGATTTTTAAGTTTTTCATGGAATTTTCTGATTGTAATTGGATACAGAAAACAAGCAGGCAGTCAGATTTTGCTTCCTCTGACACTGTAACTTACCTGAAATCCTCCTTGGCTGCTTCCCAAGGTTACTTTACCTTTTTCAGTCTTCTGCCGACTTTGTAAACTGTTAATAGGTATATAAGACTATGATTTTGTTTTTGATACATAGCAACTAAGTACAGGAGCACTTTTCTGAACTTAGGGGTTCTATTGTAATTTGAGATAATTATGTTTTCTTTCTTAGCCTGTGGACATCTCTACAGCAATGAGTGAGCGGGCACTTGCTCAGAAAAGACTCAGTGAGAATGCATTTGACCTTGAAGCCATGAGCATGTTAAATCGAGCTCAGGAACGGGTATGTAGTAGTTTAATGTCTAAATAAGACTTTTACTAACTAGATTGTTGACAAAATCAGTAGCATGCTGTTGAAATGTAGGTTCTTAATCTTGAAAATCCAAGGGAAAGATCATTTATTTTTTAAAATCTTCACTGGAGTGAAGATATTTTTTCCATTGATTCTAGGGAGAGTGGAAGGGAGGCGGAAAGGTAAGGGGTAAGGAGAGAAAAGCAAAGACACATTGATTAGTTGTCTTTCACATGAGGCCCAAGGGGGTGGGGTGGGAAACAACCTGCAATCCAGTTATGTGCCCTTGACCTGGAATTGGACCTGAGACCTTCTGGTGCACAGGCTGATGCTCCAACCACTGAGCCACGGCCTACTTAGTTTATTTTAAACTAGAGGCCTGGTGCATGACATTCTGGGGGTGGTGGTGGGGCAGTCCCTCAGGGCTGCCTGTGAGGGATGTCCGCCTGCCTGCTTAGGCCTGCTCCTCATGAAGCTGGCAGGCGGACATCCCGCAAGGGTTCCTTAGCACTGCCGCTTCTGGCTGAGCGGTGCTCCCCTTTTGGAGCACACTGACCACTAGGGGGCAGCTCCTGTTTTGAGCGTCTGCCCCCTGGTGGTCATTGTGAATCATAGCGACTGGTCGTAATGCTGTTCAGTCTGTTTGCATATGGGCCTTTTATTATATAGGATGACCATGCCCTAATTAGCTTATTTTAAATGTCAGTGATTTGGTTCCTGGTCCGTCCTTCAGTAAATATTTATTGTGTACTATATGACAGGACTGTTTCTTCAGCAAATAAAATAGGAAAAATTTCCTGCCGAGTTTATAATTTGATTTATAAAAATAGCGCATTGGCCATAATAGGTCTGTGAGATGCAAGTAGTAGTATGAGTTCATGCTTTCCAGTGACGCAAACTGAGCTAAAGAGTGGTTAACTGATGCCCAAGGTCACAAAACTAGTAAGTGAAGAGGGTGGCATTCAACCCAGTCAGCCAGGGTCCAGAGCACCTGATTTTAACAATGGACAGCTTTTCCTTCTACCTTTCTTTCTGTAAGTACTTGTTCATACAGATAGGAAATACATTGCTTGATAATCTTGTGCTATTAATGGGATTCACTGAATGTTATTAAACTACTGCTTCTTTGAAATGTTTAAAAAAAACTTTTTTTAGGAGAGAGTGGGATGGAGGGGGAGAGACGCATGGATGGGTTGTCTCCTGCATGCACCCTGACCAGGGTGGGGATGGTGGGAGCAAGCCTGCAACTGAGGATGTATCCTTGACCTGAGAGGACCTGGGACCCTTCAGTCCGAGGGCCAACGCTCTATCCTCTCAGCAAACTGGCTAGAGCTGGGAAACAATTTAAAATATGTATAAAATCACTATATGGTCTTAAAAATTGAATATCTAAGCCAGTAATACAGTATTTTCAGGAACGAACTAAAACCATTTCTTTTAGTGAATTAAATTGTTAATTCCAGTGGCATTTTAACCAGTTGAGTAATTTTAACTAGGTAATTGAGTCATCTTCTTTTCTTCAGATCGATGCCTGGGCTCAGCTGAACTCTATTCCTGGCCAGTTCACAGGAAGTACGGGAGTACAGGTCCTGACACAGGAACAGTTGGCCAATACTGGTGCCCAAGCCTGGATTAAAAAGGTACATGACATAATGCACACACGAATGTGTTCCAGTAGAAAGCTAAAATTTTTTAGGAAGTGTTTAATTAAAAATGCATTAAGAGGCCAGTGACTCTAAAAAGAATTCATGAGTAAATTTGCTGTGTGTATACTCCAGGATGGACACTGAGGATGGACCGGATTCATGAGACAATGGCCAATGTATAAATACGGCTCAAGGGCCATGGGTTTATATCCTGAGGTTATTTTTATTCTTGCTGCCGCTGGTGGGGCGGGTGGTCTTTTTAAACTGTGTTTTGAATGCTCACAATGTGTCTCAGGTGCTGTTCTGAATATGCCACAGTTCCTGTTGGACTGCTAATCTAATGATTTCAAAGCGGTGGTTCTCAAATGCTTTCTCATCCTGGGATACTTTATTACAGGTTTATTTTTGGTGGATCACTGCCCCCAAGAGCCCTCTACCACCCTCATTGCCATTCCTCTATTCCTCTGCCCTCTTTCCCGACCTTAGTGCCTGCATCTCCTTAAGCTCCCATAGTCCCCAGCCTCCTCCCCGCCCCCCCTCTTGTGATCTTCAGGCCCAGGTCCCCGTGGTTGTCAGCTGTTGGTTACAGCAAGTGGTTGGGAGGCCCCAGTATTAGCACTGCATGTGGTGATTTTGCCGTGGGACTGGAAGGCTCGGGGAGGATGGCTGGAGCGTGGGGTGGGCATTGCTGAAGGGTGAGTGGAGGTGGGGTGGGGATGGAGAACACTATCTGTGGACCACCACTTGGGCCCTGGTGGCCTTTGGTGGTCCACAGGCTCAATTTGAGTACCACTGACCTCATGGAAAAAACAGGACATGAGACCTAAATTCAAGGGAGAGGACGGATGCCTGGTGCTGTGAAGATGGAGGTGCTCCTGGTTTGATTCCTGCAAGGAGACCTGTGAACCCCACCTACGGCTGCCTCATTGTTGGGGGAGTCTTAGGTGGTTACGAAGGGCTTTCTGGAGAAATGTGCTGGGGAAGGATGTGGCTTGCTTGGATGGGGGTGGTGGTGTTTATTTCAGGAGTACGGGCAGCGTAGCGGCGCTGACACTGGGAGGCTGCACGGTCTAATGGATAGGGAAGGTTTCTTTATCCTGCTGTACTGCTGACTCCTTTTGTGATCATGGGCAAGTAATTACGTGGAATCCAGTCTACAAGTGTCACATGAAGGAAGACAAGGCCTTATTCCTGCCCTCAGGGTGGTAATATGACAGGTGCCTGTGGAGAATCGCCATGAGTGCCAGTGAATGAGCTCATTTCTGAGGAAATGAGATGTTGGTTGTTTGGAACTTTTAATCTCATAACATTTCAATTTTGATTGCATTATCTCTGGTGATCCTCTTATTAACAAATTAATATAAAACATAGTTTCACTTTGCCTGCCGTTGTGGGGGATAAGCACTCTTAGTATGTGTATACTGAGTACACAGATTCATTCAAAAGTTACAACTTGTGTCGTTCCCAATATCAATATTGGGAAAAGATGACAATCTGAGATTTAATTAATTTTGGACTAATTATATTACATTTCAAATGTGAAGTGATTTGTGTAGTATTTGGAAAATGGCTTTCATTTCATTGGGAAGAATTACAAAAGTACGCCTATTTCTTTAACAGTTTAATTCTTTAAAACTACTCCATATTTCAGGAAGTGAGACTTGAAACTTACATGAATGTTTTAGGCACATAATAGTCATGTACATTACTAGTTAGAAACTTTTGAATATGATTCCATTGTAAAATTTAGTCTAATATTTGTGTATAATGGAAGTGCTGATCGATAATGCTTCTAAACATACTTCTAAACGTGTTAATTTATAAAAAGTGAATCTTTTATAGATTCAATTGGTTCCCTGAATTTTTAAAAAATTTCCAGTTTTGTAGGCAGTTGACAGATTTTTAAATAAACATTATGTCAATTTAAATCATTTTGATAAATTATCATGCCTTAAAGCTGTGTTCATTGACCAAATTTTTAAATAACTGAAGAAAGCAATGCTTTCAGGAAAACTATTTGTATGTTACTTAAAGAATATTTGCTACTAACATCAAGAAAGGAATGTTTTATTTCATAAAAATGAGGTAGAACATGCGAAAAAGTTATTACGCAACAGGAAAATTTAACACTTATCTACTGCAGACTGTCTATTGTGTTTAGGAAATGTTTCCAAATGCTCATTTGGCTTTTCTTGCCTTGCTACAGCTCAGCGCCCTCTTTGTTAAAAGCCGCTCGGAATGCCTGCATTTCCCTTACACTTTTGTATTTTGTTGCAGTAAATCAGTATAGTCTTAGTAGATAAAGGAGAGTTTTATTTATTTTTAAGTAAACATTTAAGAGTTGTTATTAAAACAACCTTTATTTTTTGAGATGGTATCATTTGGACATGACCTGATGAATACTGTTTACTACTGTAGTCTCATTAATCAGCTTTTTTGTTAACTATATACACCCTGCGGTAAAGAAACATGAATATATCAGAGAATGGAAACAGAATTGGAAACCTGGGTGATTTGGGTATTTGTATGTACTCTGCACAGTTGCCCTATTTTTTAGGAGTGTTTCCTGGAAAAGAGGGGCCGATGAACCTGAAAGTAAGTAAAAGCCATTCTAGGTGTGTAGCAACAAGGCAGTTGATATCCAAGCATCAGCTAACTTTTCTCTCAGTACATCACCACTGCATGGCCTGCACCAAATAAGGAACTGAACCAGGGGTATGTTTTTACCTCCACAGCCGCCTCCTTCCATCAGAGCACCTTGTGGAACTTAATGCCTGTCACACAGTCATTGGCATGCTTCTCCCCAGCATGTAATTAAAAAGCTGGGGGAAAGAATACAGTTTAAATACTGTCAGAAAACAAGATTTAACAATTTTGGTATTAACTTGTCAATACAGGAATGTAATTAATGAATACTATTTCTAGATTTACCAAAAATTTTGACCCCCTTTATTGATAAGTTAATGACATCTATATATTTGCTGGAGAATGTAAATTTAAAATTTAATAACGAGAAATAAAAAATGATTTGGAGATATCACATAAAAAAAAAGACCAACAGTAAAATTTAGTAGTAGTTTGTTGTATGTACATGGACGCCTCAGAGGCATCCCGTTTTTCTGAATGTGTGACAATAATTGACTTGGTCATGCTAATGTCTATACTTGTGCATCTTACGACATTAAGTGGTTTGCTGCTTTGATGGAAATTATGGTTCAGTGGGTTGGATACAAGAGAGATGACTGTTCACAGAATAACCTGTGAACTTTCACCCCTCTGTATGGAAACTTGTTTCAGGGCCAAATCCTTGTAGCTGTCTTCTTGCCCCGGTCAGTGCCAGCCCTACTATTCACAACACTGCTGCTACCGAGGCCTAGGTATGTAAACGTTTAAGGAGTTTTTTAAAAGTCTTTTAACATCAAGCTAGGTTTTAAAGGAATTCAAATTCAGTTTGGTATAATAACAGGTTATTTTATGTGATTGTCTTCCATTTCTTACTGTGTAAATTGATTATAGTTAATTCTTTTGCTTCATAGGGTTTTTCTATGTAAATATTTATACTTACTCCATGGTAGAATGGGGAAATAAAATGGGTGATAACAGTATGCTTCTCCGAACTATTTCTAAAATGACTCTGGGCTTTATTTATTAACTAGGTGCACCTGGGACAATTAATGACTGTTTTAACATTGCCTTCTTTTTATTTTGCAAGCTAAGAAGAGATACCAGTGAACGTAAATAGTGGACGAAAACAGGAGTGTTCTGATTTTTTTTTTGGAGGGGGCTCGAGGGCCACTGTTTTAAAACTGCCATTTATATGCCTTACGTGACTTTCAAAATACTATTATGTTATTGTGGAAAAAGTTAGAACATACACACTACAGTATGTATAAGAAGCATTTAAATGTAACAGCTGTAACAGCTCTAGAAGTAAAATCAGATTTCTTTTTTAAAAAGTGACACTGAGTTGACAGTCACATTCTAACTGTAAAATTGGGACATTTACCTTTCTTCTTTGGACAGGATCAGTTCTTAAGAGCAGCCCCAGTAACTGGAGGAATGGGAGCCGTTTTGATGAGAAAAATGGGTTGGAGAGAAGGAGAAGGATTAGGAAAAAACAAAGAAGGAAATAAGGAACCTATCCTCGTTGATTTTAAGACGGACAGAAAAGGTAACAAGTGTTTTGGGGAAGGTTTATTATACCCCCTTTCACATTCCAGCTTTCATTGTCTACATTCTTTTGATGTCTGTGATCCTGACCTGCAGGCTCTTCTGCTTATACAGATGTGTTTTTTTGGGGGGGGGTGGGGGGGATGGCGTGCGGGGTGAAGGGGAGAGTTTAACCCATTTCCAACAACTTATATAATTATAGGAGGAAACACTAATTTTAGCATTAAAAAGGCAACCTGTGTTAATGTTAGTTGCTAAAAATTATGGAACTTTGAATATATCTGATTAAAATTTTAACTAGATTTTATATTTATAAAGCAGCCATTTTGTTTTGACAGGGAATATATCTTTATTTCTAGAATATTTTTTTCTTAAGATATTTTATCCCACATATTCTTTTTCTTTCCTATTAAAGTGCTGTTTAGTCTCCGCCTTATAAACCCTCTTTTCAGGCTCAGTAATTCAGTTCTTTGGGGTTGGGGAATAGCAGATCAGCTGCCTACAATAGTGCTTTTTTTCACAATGCCCTGAGTTTGGGGCACCTAAGTATAATCCATGGGAATGCCAACTCAGTGTGATGATTGAAGCTTATTTAAGTCTGATTTTTAAAACTCAAATGTATTTTCCTTATTTTTGTATTCAAAGAGATTTCATTGAAATTAATGCAATTACATTATTCTTGATGACCATGGAAACTGAATAGCTCCAACTAAATTTTTTTTTATTGTTTTGCATCAGATTTTCTACATTGCCATGCATGTAGAATAGTGTGTTGCCATTTTATTTCCAACTGGTGGGAGTGTACTGTAATAATGATACTCAAAAATAGCATGGAAATAACGTGACACTCATCCTGTGATGTAGCATTCATTCAGGCTTTAAATTAGGAAAGGGCATTTTGCTAGTTAGTCACATTTTCTTGCTTGTGCAAGCTGAACAGATGATCTGTCCCAAAAAGGTGGTTTATTGGAAGAAAACATGTTGGATGCACTGTGTGATTCCAGGGAGCATTCTCTGGAATTGACAACATTGGTTTTGCACAGTAACAGAGCTCAGCTACTTGGGAAAGGGGGGTTATGCATTTGTGTGTTTGTCTTTCGAGAACACCTCACATTCGATAACTCAGAAAGGGCTTCGTTGTTGGGAGGGGGTGGGGGTGGAATGAACCCATTTATCAATTAGACAGCATTTCTCACTTTTTTACTTGTGTGTGACCTAAAATCCTCACCTTTTGAGGAACATATCTTTTACTGAGCATCATCTTTTAAAGAATGGGCAAACTTTAGAAATCAGTTGCAGTAAATAGCCACTACTTTTTAAACTTACAAAGCAACAGGCCTGGAGTTGTTGATAATGATGGCACTTAATTATATGTATTCACATACTAAATGCTTGTTTTCTGAACAATTTCCAGTACCAGTGTGTATGAATATGTATATTTATATGTTGAAACACAGCAAAATAGAAGTCCAGATTGACATAGAAACTAGGGTAAGGGGGATATGTTGAAGATTTCCTTTGAAGTTTATTTCATTAACATTGATTTTTTTTTTTTTTTAAAGGTCTTGTGGCTGTAGGAGAAAGAGCACAGAAGAGGTCTGGGAACTTCTCTGCTGCAATGAAAGATCTGTCAGGTGAGGGACACTGGGATTCTTCTCACCCATCCTTACTTTCAGTTCGTAATTGGTGTCACAGATGGTGGAGATAATTAATAACTGGCTATTTTTTTCTCTGCAGGCAAACATCCTGTGTCTGCCTTGATGGAAATCTGTAATAAGAGAAGGTGGCAACCACCTGAATTTCTCTTGATCCATGACAGTGGCCCTGATCATCGCAAGCATTTTCTCTTTAGGGTAAATATGAATTTCTGCATTAATTTTATACATTTATTAATTTGGTGACAATGTTAGCGGGTGAGGGATAAGTACATGATCATAGGATTGATATATTATTGGTGGGCTGGGACTGTGTATATGTATAGGTAGAGAGGAGGGGTTTTTAAACATACAAATATGCCTCTTAATATGACTTTTAAAAACCTTATTTTAAAAATACGTTGGAAGGGAAAGTTTTGGGCAAAATTTGGTGAACTGTTTGTTGCCATATTGTAGTAGGAAATGGGGAATTAGAGCTCTCAGGCTTTTTTAGTTTGGAGACCTGCTTTTAATCTGCTGTCTCTTCCCAAATGATTTGCTTCTTCTGGGTTGCGGTTAATGACTTATGTGGTATGGGCTTTATGTTTTAAATTAGTTTTTAGCATTTAGTGAAAAAATAAAGCTAATAGATATTAAAGTTTGATGCTGTTCTTATTGTATGTTTTTCTTGAATAGGTATTGAGAAATGGAAGACATAAACA